AACCCACCACCTTAAGTGTATGTGGCTGGCGCCTTAGCTGCTTGAGCCACAGGCGCTGAGCCAAGACAAATTATTTTGATTGGCTTCTAAACCGTTTAGGAGACATAGGCTATATCTTGAAAAGGTCTGATTTGTAGCTTCTTGAAAGGTAACAAATAAAACATTAACATATACTTCCTGCACCAGTTAAAACCATCTCAAGACTCATTTAAAATTTGTTAGATCAATCAATTATAATTTCTTATTTATATACTGAATACATCATTATACCCATCCTTCCCAGAGAAGTTACATTCACTTGTACTGTTTACAAGACATCTGCTAGCAAATGACAAAAACATACACAGATTAAGACTTCTTTATAGCCATTCTCTACCAGTGTTCCCCCTTGAGACTCTGACCAAACTTAATTACATTGTATTCAAAAACACACTGTCTTCAAACTAACAATGGGAATTAGTCTTAATTTTCTTATTCTTTCCACTCTATTCCATAGTCATAGTTAGGCAAACTAAAGATTCTATTCAATGATTCAGCAAATTTACCTGTAGGTAGTAAGTGTATAGTTGTCTGAGATGGTCCACTTGTTGGTACCCCAGATGGCTGAAGAGGTGGAGCTGGTTGTATGGGTTGTAATGGTCGTGACACAGGCTGAGAGGGACCCATGGTTGATACAGGAGTGTGATTTAACTTTTTGGGGTCTGTCAATTAAAAGCAAGATATTGTGATTGACAGGAAAAAATTTACAATATAGGTCTTTTCCTTTATGGGTCACATTTACCTCCAAGAGAAAAATTTCTTTCTCTTTGACCTATTTGCATTATTTTCTGATTTAAAACCCAAGTCAGGAGCATATGAAATTCAAGGTTGGTTCTATCAAAAATTCCAATTCACATTTATAGGAATTCAGTTTTATGTTCTGTTTATTGTTTTTATGAAAGAAGCTTATTTCTGGATCCAATACATCCAGAAGTAATATTTTATTCTTACTTATTTTATCAACTAAAATAATTTTATCACTTCCATAAATATGTATATATTCACATGCCAATATCAAAAACATTTTCCTAGACAAATACTTATACATTGATAAGTCTTCCACCATGATGTTGAAATTTCAGTTACTCCACTGTCATTTAGGTTCTTCTGTTTGATAACACAGATGGTTGCTTATCATTACTATGCAGTGTTTAAAATATACATATAATGTTTACTTAAAAAAGTTTTTTTCCCAACAGCCTATTAAATAAATGTTTGTATCTCAGATAAGTCTTAAAAACAGAAAACTACTTATGTAGATGGTGAGCTAAAACCCTTTCATCCAAAATGACCCCTAGTGATTTCTGTCCTATGGAATTCCTCACTAAAATATAAAGAAAATTTAAGGCTTTAGCAACAGATACTTTAATTTGCTACTACTGGAGAACAAGGTATTTCAAAATGGGAGAATTAGAGCCAGACCCAAAGGTGGGGCAATAAAAAGAGAATACATGAGATAGATTCTGAAAAAGGTAATGGCAAAGGTACTGAAAACAAACTTTGCTTACCTATCATTTTAATCCAGAATTAGCCCTACCTGTGTCCTCTCAAAGATAACCTGCATTTATTTTTGTCCTATAGGGATCCATTATAGTCAACCCTATCTATAAAATATAGTGAAAGTAATATAGATAATTCAAAGCTTTTAAAGAATAATTATACTGATACAAGTTCAACCCTGATAAAGGAGAGTAAAAATCTCCCAGTTTTACTTCAGTTGTATACAACAAACTTGACTTGAAGTCAATTGTACAGCTATTTAATTTTGTTTTCTAAAACCCAGCTAAATTATAATATTCCCCCAATATGACTTTTTAAATCTCTAGGATTTTAGAAAGTTTAATGTCTTTAAAGTAATAGTAATTAACTTAGCAAATGATCTTCACTAGATTTTACACATGCAATTATCACCACAAAATTCTGTAGATTATCTGTGCACAGTTATTTTGTGCATTCAAATCTGTTTGAGAGATACTTGAATAGTTCTTGAAGATTCATTTACATTATAAATTTGCATAGTAAAGGCTCAGATAGCCTGCATTAAGAAAAATCCATTTAACTTTAACTCATCATTTCCTAAAACGTAATTAACCACGGAAGCTTTATTCACAAATTAACATCACAGAAGGGCTGTGCCTGTGGCTCAAAGGAGTAGGGCACCAATACCATATGCCGGAGGTGGCAAGTTCAAACCCAGCCCCAGCCACAAACTGGAAAAAAAAAAAAAATCACAGAAGAATAACAAGAATATAGTTTAGTATCTTTCCAATATAGTTTTAAAAACTTTAACTCATAATGTTGAATGTTTTTGTAAATTACTTTCATTTTTCTTTATATAACTCTAAATAAAGGAAATTCAAATGATCAAAATTAAACGTAAATACATCAAGTATCTCCTTAACACACACACACACACACACACACACACAAAAAAACATTTAACTCAAGAGTCAGAAGAGTAAGACTTAATTCCTAAGCTCTATATTGACTTTGACTTGGTAGAGTTCCCTTAACTCCAAAATGAGTATTACAGGGTTATTGCAAAGATCAAGTGAAATAACACATAGAAAAACTGAGGTGCTCCACAAAGTAAATATTCTTCTAATTTTCTAATTGCTGTTTTCCTCTACAACTTATTCATATTCACTCAAGATTTGATTTCTATTTTTTAATTCTAATCTAAAAAGCTTGCATTCTGAAAGGCATACAAATATACCAAGCATACTATTGTAAAGACATGTCTTAATATTATATTGTAATATTACATTATATTAAGAGAAAAAAAAAAGGTATCTAAGTATTCTTCAGTATGATTACTACTTAAGTACCTTGAGAAGCTGCACTCTCTTCATCATCCATTGTGAGATCAATGACACCCCCTGAATCACTGCCAGACGGTTTTCCACTCTGAAAAACCAAATTTCTGCATTTTACAAAGGAAATTCTGGCAAATACATATATGAGGACTGACAGGAAAACATCCAGCCATGTAATATGAAAAACAGTATTAACAATAGCTGAATGCTTTCCAGACAGCCTTTGCATATACAACAAAAAAATACAGTAACAGTGAAGAGAAATGAGGCTAATGAAGAGCCTGCTTCAATCTGGACATAAGAATGGCTATACCTGAAAAAACAGAGTTTATAAGATAAATCCCTCAGGATACTTTAACTTTACACCCACCAGATAAAATATAATTTTACAAAGGAATTTTAGAAGTTTTTGCAGTTTTTTGGCCGGGGCTGGGTTTGAACCCACTACCTCCAGTATATGGGGCTGGTGCCCTACTCCTTGAGCCACAGGTGCTGCCCATTTTAGAAGTTTTTGTTAAAAAATTAAGCTGTCCATTGCATAGAGCAATTAAAGCAATTAGATGCTTTAAGTGAATTAAATACAATTATTCATATTCTAACATTTAAAATGTGGATCAATCCTACTCTGAATTATTATTTATTTATTTTTGTTTTCTTTTGTTTTGGAGATAAGAGTCTTTGTAGCCCCCAGTAGAGTGCTGTGACATCAAGGCTCACAGCAATCTCAAACTCTTGGGCTTAGGCCATCTTGCCTCAGCCTCCCAAGTAGCTGGGACTACAGGCGCCCACCACAATGCCTGGCTATTTTTAGAGATGGGGGGAGTCTTGCTCTTGCTCAGGCTGGTCTCGAACTCCTGAGCTCAAGCAATCCACCCACCTTAGCCTTCCAGAGTGCTAGGATTAGTCTGAGACACTGCACCAGGCCCTACTATGATATTAATATTAATCCATCAAAATGCCAAAGTCAATCTTTAAAGCCAGAATTAAAGTAAAAGAATCTAAATCAGCTGTGCACAGTGGTAGTCTTGTAGCCAAGGAGGTTTATCTGAAGTGCAATTACTTTTAATTGAAAACTTCTCCCAATACTCTGCCATGACTATTTGAAATAAAGTTGGCATTGGCAAACTTTGATAGTCTCTATGGAGACTGAATGCAAAACAAACAAAAGAATCTAAATCTTCCTTTTTCCCTAAAAAATAGCATGGAATGTTATGAATGAATATAATATAGTATGATATGCTATTTACTGAACATCCAATTTGATCAAAGTCAACCCATTGTGCAAAATCATTAGAAATATCAGGATTTTTAAAACACCCTTTAAAAACCAAATGATAAGAACAAACAAGGAAAGCAGAACAACACAGATTTAAAGAGCCAAGAGTCTGAAGTCAGAAACATTAAGTCAGAGATCTTGTAGTTCCAACTTATTGGCTCAATGAATTTGTGTGAAGAGATAATTTTCCCAATTTCCAAAATATAGATATTGAGGATGTCACAAGGATTAATCCAAATAGGTATACAAGGTGCTTAACACCACATACCACACACTAACTGCTTGGTAAGTAATAATCACAATTTGTTTTGCTATGTTATACTAAGATCACCTCCTAATGATTAATGTTTTCATCAGCAGGACTCAAATTTTATGAAATTAAAGAAAATAATTCTTGACTTTAGAAAATCCTTGCCCAGGCTCAGCGCCTGTAGCTCAATGGCCACATGCACTGGGGCTGTCCAGTTCAAACCCAGCCTGGGCCTGCTGAACAGCAATGACAACAACAACAAAAAAATAAGCCAGGCATTGTGACGCACACCTGTAGTCCCAGCTACTTGGGAGGCTGAGGCAAGAAAATTGCCTAAGCCCACGAGTTTGATGTTGCTGTGAGCTATGACGCTATGGTATTCTACCAAGGGCAACACAGACACTGTCTAAAAAAAAAAAAAAAAAGAAAGACAATCTTGGCCCAATCCAAGGATAATAATGTATTTCTAAATCTTATTTTTCTACAATAATGAATTCACAGAAAATGGCTTACTTATAAACAAATACCACAAATTTGTAAAATCCATAACTAAAGTCTCCAACAAACCTCAAGGATTGTCAAAACAATCTACTTACTATGATATATTTTCTGTAAGGTCTGATTTTCGAAATTTATCAAAAAGCCTACAGAAAACAGTAAATGGAACCTAGCTTAGGGATAAAAAGATAGATTAATATAAAATGACTCTAAGCAAAGCTAAATGTTACATTCAAAACATAAAAACTTCAAACTAGCTATTAAAAATGTGTTCAAAAGCTGGGCATGCCTGTAATCCCAGCACTCTGGGAAGGCAGATGGGTGGATTGCTTGAGCTCATGAGTTCAAGACTAGCCTGAGCAAGAGAAAGACACCAGCTCTACTAAAAATAGAAGAAACAGCCAGGTATTGTGGCAAGCACCTGTAGCCTTAGCTATTCTGGAGGCTAAGGTAAAAGGATTGCTCAAGCCCAAGAGTTTGAGGTTGCAGTGAGCTACGATGATGTCATGGAAGAAAAACAAAACAAAAACCAAAGAATTTAAGGAAAATAAAACAGAAAAATCTCAGTAAAATTGATGCTATAAATTGAACTTTTGCAATCCATAGACCAGACAGAAAAACAGAAGGAAATAGGAAAAGAATCTGAAACTTGTGTAGTAATAAAAAGTTTAGCAAAACTCTAAAGTGAGATAAACCAAAGAAAGAGTTAAGATAAATTATTTGAATTTGAAGAAGTAACAACCAAAAACTTACCAAATGTGGTGAAAAATATTATTTTAAAATCTAAGAGGTTTGGCTTTGCGCCCATAGCTCAATGAGTAGGGTGCTAGCCACATACACCGAAGGTGGTGGGTTCGAGCCTGGCCTAGGCCTGCTAAACAACAATGACAACTGCAACCAAAAAGTAGCCAGGTGCTGTAGCAGGCGCCTATAGTCCCAGCTACTTGGGAGGCTGAGGCAAGAGAGTCATGTAAGCCCAAGAGTTTGAGGTTGCTGTGAGCTATGACATCACAGCACTCTACTGAGAGCAACATAATGAGACTCTTGT